AGAAGTTTATCCAGAAATGTCTCTGTGAGGAAAATGTCTGTTTTTAATACATTTGAAATGTATTAGAACACATAATCATTGTAAAACTTGTATTCGTTTCTAAGTTTTAATTTTTAAGTATCTGAACAACACATTTTTGCACTATCGCTTTACAATAATGATATTCCTACACTAATACGCATATTTTATCATCAGTATGATTGTGATAAACTGCGCAAGAAACAATAAAGTAGCAAATATAAAAAATTGAAAAACTCATTCTCTTTGTTTTAAAAACATATCAAATGAAGTCTTAACTGAACTTAAGAGATAAAACTAGGTTTCATATTTTTTAAGTAATTGAAACCATTTTAAGTGATGTGCTGTTCTATGAATATAGTAACTAAAGTTACAACTAATCTTAGCTTCACTTTTTTTATTTTAATTTTTTAAAAGATTTTATTTACTTATTTTTAGAGAGGGGAAGGAAGGGAGAAAGGGAGGGAGAGAAACATCACTTGGTCTACAACCCAGGCATGTGCCCTGACCGGGAATTGAACCAGCAACCCTTTGGTTCACAGACCGGTGCTCAGTCCACTGAGCCACACCAGCCAGGGGTTAGTTTCACTTTTAATCTAATAAATCCCTGAGAGAAAATACCCTTTCAACTATGACCCAAGCAATCTAGAAACCTGCATACAAATTAGAACAAAGAAAGTAATTAAAAAATAAAAGAATCTGAACAAAGACAAATATTTAAAATGAAAATATGATACATACACATTCTTCCTGGTGTTCCTAATAACTGATGATACAATCAAATTTACTTTTGGGCGAAGCACTCAGAGGGCAGATTTTTAAAATGTGAAATAAATAAAAGTGCCAACAACATTGTTAAGAGACCAGACATCTAATCTTGTAACTAAAATGGTCCAATACCTATAATTTGCCATACACTCAAATAAGGAGAATACAGCACTTAATAGTTTGAATTTAGCTATAAAAGTGAAATAGCTTCAGAGATCACTTCCTACCCTCTGAGTAATGGCCACAGTACAAAGTATTAAAGATGCCATGGTTCTTCGTTTCAGGAAACCTTTTCTCTCTCACCTATCTCCCATTAAGTTAAAAAAAAAATGTGTTGCATTGAGTTTACATGGTTAAGATAAAATCTGAGATCTAAAAATTTAGTGTTATTCCTACTTCGATTGCCTGATAAAGATTTACAGAGAAGAAAGGCCCGCTGTCTCTAAACTCTATCTTTTAAAAATCAAATACATTCAAGGACAGGAACCACTTTAGTTCTGTTTTACACTGATGCATCAACTAAGTGATCTCAAATCCGTGGTTTCTATTTCCTTACCTAATACACAGGAAAAAAATATCTATTCTTTTCTTTAGCAACGTAAATGCAATTCTCCTTTATTAACTTTTTAAACATCTTCATCAAATACTTATACTTAGTGACCAGGATGTTCTAGGAATAAATTATAGTATTAAAAACTTTGTATTAATTCAGCAGAGAATAATCAGCCATTACTTATATGGAGTAGTCATGTGTTATCACGCATTCATTGAGTATTAAATGTGCTAGGAACCTCGGAAACAAAAACAAATAAGATGTCACTAAATGGGCGCATAATTACCTCCACCAAAAACATCCATCACAAACACAGATACATAAAAAGACCTTACAATTCTAAGTCAGAGTTTCAATTTGGCCTTTAGCATTTAATTTCACTAAATAACAAAGAAATATATTTTAATTTGAAACTTCCCAGGTAACTTTTAATTAAATTTAAAAAGCAGATGGCAAAAATGGAAACACTAATTTTAAAAAGTTCGTAAGATATTATCAACCATCTTTCTCTTTAAGACCATGACAATTTTTATATTTCCCATATCTGGCAGAAATAGCTCAATCTAATCATTTTAGAAGAATATATTTCAACAAATTAATTCTTCTGTCCCACATATTCTAGAAATAACTATATATAAAAACAGAACATGCACATTCTCTGAAAGGGAAAAATATAAGCATTTACTATTACTGGAACATATTTACCTATTGGAACCCTTATTTCAGGGCCCACATATATGTATCCTTTATATTACTAAATAATAATCACTGTTACTAAATGACAGTGATGTCCCACTATTTTATATGGAAAGAATTTACTATCGCTCAGCAATTATTCACAATGTCCCCCAGTGGAGTAGAATGTGATTTTTATCATACATATTAAAGGGAAAAACAGAAACACAGAAATACGAAATCACTTGCCAAAGTAAGAACAGAAAAAAACTTAAGAGGCAAAACAGAAAATGACAGTTGGAACCTCCTATTATAGTTGACAGATAAATTGAATGCAATTTCCCAGTGATATTAAAGTACTATAAATGTATATTGACACGTATACATAGACAAAAAGCTGAAAAGGCAAGTAAAATAATTGAGGAGGAAATCTTATATAGCCTGAATTACATAGAGAAGTGTGGTTTCGAAATCAAAGCTGCTAAACAGCAGATTCTAATGACTTGAGTTCATTTGTTCAAGGGACCTTAGAAAATAAATACAGTGTATTCAATAAAAGATTATTAATTAAATTATGACCCAAGAAGAATAATTTTGTAAGAGAACCTAATAGACATATATAATAAGTATAATGTTTTTCTGACCAAGCACTGAAATATATCTTAAGAGAAAATAAGGTCTAATTTTAAATGTCTGAAAATTAAAGTTACAAAAAAGAATTTCATGTGTACACAATATTTTAGATACAACTTGATCATAAATTATGGACTTTTTAGGGAATCTGCAAACAATGATGGTACCAATTACAAAATAAAAAAGATAGTATGGGAAATGGCAGATATTAGCTCCTTGTATTACCTTTTTAAATACATTAAATTCTACATAAAATTCTTCTGTCACTCAAGAGCAATAGTGCTTCAACTGAATGTGTATTTTTTGGTACAGAACAGCTACATTATAATCATAAAATTTTATGGCATTGTTATATCCAGCTTATTTTGTCCTCAAAATCATTATAAAATTTTTTAAGTCCCTCTTCATTACCTCTTTAAATCCTTTGCAGAAAATCTGTGATGTTATCTTCTTAACAAGGTAAAACTAAGGAAGAAGGCTTTACATCCATCGTTTTTATAGCAACAAAAATATCTTTACCTTCCAGAAGACTTTCACAGAATCCAGGACACTGGCATGTTATAATAATGCAATTACGAATGAAAATTTTATAAGAGAAACTAAGTAAGTGAGAGTAAAGACTAATGTTATTCAAAAATGTTATCAAGAATCAAAGAAAGATGGTAACTTTTTAATACAATTAAAATATTTGTCAAAGATGCCCCTATTATAAAGTGGTTTTAAAAATAAAAACTGTATATATTTTCTGGATTATTTCTTTCATATATGTGACTAAATAAATAAATGAAAATGTGGTAAAAATATATAGGGTTTATAGTAAAATGGCTTGAATTCACCTACTATCTAAAAGTAAATAAGTAAGAGAGTAGATATTCCCATAGGCTCAATTAATTAAAAAGAAGATAACCAGCCCTCTAAGACTGTAACTTTGTTTCAAGCTGATCATGCATGATAATGCACCCTTAACCCCAAGGAAGTTTCTTCTAGAATGAATTTTTGTCCAACACACATGATTATTTTTTTGTTTTTTTTCTTTTGTTCACTAATATGTGTTGTCTTGTTATTTCATGTACTCCATTATAGTATGCTTATGCCTGAAATCTTTTTATATATATATCAGAAAATTATATGATAGCCAGAATTATTAATGTGTATCTTCTCTTATTAGAACTACTTTACCCTAAATTTCAGTACTTTAACCTTCGGGGGCGCTCACATGACATTCAGAAAGCACTGGCCAAATGTTACAGACTTTCTGGACTTTGTTGAGGCATTTCATGTTTCTTCACTGTAATTTTAATTTTCTCCTTATCTTCTCCACTGATAGTATAAAAGACTCATAAATTCAAAACTTCTTGCCTTTATTTGAGCAATGAAAACAAAAGAAATTATATTTTAATGAGGAATAAATGACATCATTTTGGAAGCAAATATTTAAGATCATATAACAGTATTAGTATATATTTTATCTGTTTAGCATTTTAAAACATTTAATTTCTGTGCCTTTAGGTAACTTAAAAGGGGTTTATAAAAAGACAGTTTTTTCAAGAAATCGGAAAGAGTTCCCTTGCCACACTAAAAGATTATTTATGTAAGAGTGATAACGTTTTTAAATGAGGTCTCCTGAGTTCACCCATCCACTCCTCCGTCTCACCCAGGGTTTTGAGCAATTTCTTCATCTCACCAAAAGAGGCAAATGGCTAAAATTAGCAGTGTCTGGACCATCAGGAATCTCCACTGGGCAACATCAGCTGAGATCCCTGATTAGCATTATATCTGCTAAAAAAAAAAGTACCAAACAAAACAAAGGAGAAAAGAAACATAAAACAAAATAAAATCTATCTAGGCCATCTTTTCACCTTTCTTTATTTCATAAGAGAGAAGCATTTAACACATTTGTTTTGATAAACAGGAAATAGTGATGAAGCTCCTATCATTAAAAGGTATATCTTACCATTATTGCTAATAAACTTAAAGTTTTAGAGCATGCTAAGAGAACTTAGTAATTTTTATTGTTTAATGAGATGAAACAATAATCTTACTGCCAAGTATTTGGATTAAATTGCTTTCATGGCTTCTAAATAGAGAATATTGTCAACTCTTTATCAAGAGAACATTAATTCTCTGGTGTTCAAAATTCAGATTATCACTCCTAATTACATCTAACTCCAGAGAATAACCAAGTGTGGCAGGTTAGTAAGTGCATGAAATCTGCTTCTGAAGTAGTGTTTCTGCTAAATAAAGTTTAGAAAAGATCCTGTACTGTGATTCTCCCTCATTATATCTGTGATGAGAAAATGATGAAAACGCCACCGCATCCCCCTAAAGACAAGGTCCCATCCCTACAATTTACCTGACGAGATTTTCATTGTCTCCAGTTCCCTTGCAGGTAGCACATTCAGTCCGTAAATCTTCAGCTTTGGGCTTCTTCTGCAACACGGACTGCCTCTGTCTTCTCTCCCTAGGAACTCTTTCCTGACATCCCAGGGAAAACAAAACATAAGCAAAATCAGGACATAAGGAAAACAGAAGTAATTTTGAACATAAAAGTTTACCGAAGTTTAGACTAGGTAAAATATGCTTAACTTATTCCAACCTCATGTTTTTCTTCATCAGGAATGAAGCTTCGTTTTCGTCCTCTGGTTCTCTAAAAAGAAAAAAAAGAAAAGAAAAAAGCCACAATTGCTTATGCACTTGGAAAATTAGTATTTTTAATTAATACTGTAATGCTCTATTGTACTGCTACAATTTATATCATGGAAATAAAAACCAAACAAATTTACAGTACTTAATAACACAAGTATCTGATAAGAAAAAAGTTCTCCAAAATTAATTTGAAGAATTTTTTCAATACTTCATGTAGGTCACACGATTTTGATTTATGCAAAGAACTTGAATTTTTATAACTTATAAGACTTCCACAGCTGAAATGCTAAACCTAGACTCATACTACATCTATTATATGTCCGTGTGTGTGTGCACGTTTGTGTAACATGAACGATTTTTGTCAGCCATAAAAAGTGAGAGGCAAGGATCTCAGATGTCCCCCCAAATCTTCATTAAAATAGACCTAAAACATAATATAAATTACCTATTTCAAATTTAATTAAAATATTTCAGAACACATTTACCATTTGAAAGACAACATCCAAACAGCTAAGAATAATAAAGTATAAAATGCAAAATTATTTACATCCAATATGTTAAAAAAATCCCTGCCCACAGAGCAAAGCCTATGTAGACCTATAATCCTGTGTGCAGACTGACTAGTGGTCCTCAGATAATGGAAGAGAAAGGAGGTACTCTCCCACAAATTACCACACTGAGATCAAGGAACATTTCCAGGTTAGGGTAGTTACCAAATAATTCTAAACATAATTTCTATCCAATGTAAATATGTTGATGTTTCCCTAAAGTACTGTTGTTTCAATTCATAATACCAAGTCCCTTGTTAGTTAATACCTTGGCTAATTACACATTATTTAATCTGCCCCTAGACAACCAAGACCTGATTGAACTAGTCATTCAAAACAAGTATATTTATAAACTATGTATTCATTTACATTTGCATTGACAATTAGTAAGGGATTAGGAAGAAAAAGTAATACTGTATCCAAGAAAAGTCTTTAAATGCAGACCCTACATCTATTCTTAATCCCAAAAAACAATACTGATCTTGCTCCTCAAAATATCAAACATGACTCCTAAACACTGGCCTTCCCTAAGAGCTTCTCAATAATTTGGAATCTTAATTCTTACTGCCTTTTAACAAGGTCCACAGGTAAGTCATACACACATCTGAGTTAGAGAACATGAGTGCACAAGAATCCTTAATGCTGACAACACTTATTGAAGCACTAAAACTTTATGGCTAGCTCTTTACATATCTGTCTTTCCCTTCTGTGACATCCCTGTCCTTTATGCCTCAATTTATGTCCCCCAACAGTTTATCCCCAAACTGGTGAGCATCATATCATACTCATCTTCCCAAACACAACCTTAATACAATATGTATTACATAAAGGCTGAACAAATTTGTTGTAATAAAATAAAATAAGTGGTTAGATTAAAATTCATAAATGACTTGCTGGATAATACAAATAATAAAACAACAGATAAAAAGGGTAAATTATTGTTTCCTTCTCTAATAAGCTATTTTTCAATTTGAGTAATTTTTACATATAGGACATTTCAATAAGGTGACCAGACTAACAAATATCAAAGGGAAAATATTCAAATTACTCATTTTAGTTCTATAAACATTTCAGAATGCTCAAAACTCCACATATTCCCGTTTTTTTTATTCAACCCTTCTTTTATGTAATGAAGTACCAAAATAATAACTGAGCTTTTGAATCATCTAGTCAGTGAATTAATTTTCGAGGTATAGATGTGAAAGCTCCAACTTCATGTTATCAATTATTTTCAAGATATACAGTTATTTACCATTTTTAATACTTTAAATCTCCAATCATCTGGAATGACTCTATCAATTGGAAGTTTTTCAAACCCATATTGCAATTAGTATCATAAAGCACAATAATGCCAGTGATTATAACACACAATAGCATAAGTTATATTTCTCTATAAATTCCTTCTTATATAACTATGTATATATTTAACTAAAGTGCTACTTTAAAAGCGAATAAGTATGTTTTTAATTATCTCAGTCATTTTAATTAAGTGCATTTATTACCAAATAGTAATCATTGATGTACTCCTATAATACATCATTCCTATAATGTAATTTTAAGTAACTAGTCAAAGCAACGTAAACAAACTCCAGCCAGAAACACGCTGTTACAGGCAATATGAAGTGACAGTGTCTTAGAGCTTTGGAAAAGCAGCCCAGGGAACGACTTGCTTATCACACAGCCGACTGCGATAAACTTCAAACCTGGGTATCTCAACTCACAACTCAGTGTTTTTTCTTGCATGACAAATCCAAGATTAATAAATTTAATCCCAAATAGAGATGACCAAAATTATCATGTGAAAACAAATCTCTTACTCTCACTTGAATACTTAAACTATAACAACTTAATGGCTAAATGAAGAATTCTTACAATTGAAAACCAGTACATTGAAGAATTATACCCAATGGAGAGGAGACTTCAATACCTCAAATTAACACTATATTCTACCCACTCTGCTACCCTACACAGTACAATATTACCATGGTTCATGACCAAAGTAAATTATAACAAGCTTCGTTAGCATTTATCACATCACCAATATTTACAATAAAAAAAAAAAGGTGATTTGATCCAAACACAACTCTTCACAATACAAAGTCCTCCGAGTTAAAGGCTAGGAGCTGTGGGTTTCTTTCTAGTTTTAAGGAAGTAGTCATGACATCTCACAAATACCTATGATCACAACAGAATATATCTTAAACATGGTGCCTCTGAATGAATCATAAAATCTAAAGGGCATTCATAAGTGGGAGAAATGATGCAAAAAAGCAAAAAGGAAGAAAAACAAAAACATGTTTAGCTCCTCCAACAAATTTCAATTATCAAAGAACTTGCTCCATCTTAAATGTAAAGTGTTCATAACCAGGTGGTTATTTCATGATGTACATTGAGCTGACACCTTTTTTAAAAAAAATTAGTTATTCTGAGAGGGAGGAGAAAAGAGGGAGACAGAGAAACATCGATGTGTGCGAGAAACATTGATCGGCTCCCTCAACCCGGGACCTGGGCCCCTACTCAGGCACCTGCCCTGACCAGGAATCAAAACACAACCCTCAGTTCACAGGCTGATGCTTAACCCGCTGAGCCACACCAGCCAGGGTGAGGCTGACACTACCTTAGAAACAAAATAAAGCAGCAGGGTAAAAATAACATGTGGAAAGGAGAATTTTATTTAATGATTATGTGTCTTAGAACTTCACATAGATACATTATCTAGTTTCAAATGATCAACTGCGGATTCAATTCCAAACTGTGGTTCCTTTTGCAATTATTAACCTATAGAAAGCACATGAAAGTTTGAAACTCACTCTACATCTTGACACATTCCTATTTTTTTTTTGGTTTGTTCTAGTTTAAGAACTTTATTTCCCGGGGGAACAATGTGACCTGAGCATCTTATATCACCTGGTTCTTTATCTGTGTATGGTACATTTACTTGAAACCCAGAGGTGAAAACAACATCCCCAAGAGAATGAAATGATATTAGAGACAATGTATATAAGTTAGAAAAGAATAAAGTATTATTAGTCATCAGACATCATTTTAATAGCTTAATCATCTGAAACAAATAATTAAATGTTTCAATCATTTCATTTAGATAGAAAACATGTAACCAGTTTAAATTAATTCTTTAGAGCTAGGGGTATTTTAATTTACAATTAAGTCTAAGGTGCGATGATGCTCCCAAGGTCAGGATGACTCATTGACAATGGAGCTGAATTTAGACCTGAAAGCGCCTCCACCTCGTTCATACCCCAAGACGGCTTTCACACATTCACGTGTGTGGTTTTCTCTACATTCAACAACTCACCTTTCTTATGACTAAATCAACACTTACACAAATGATGTTGAGTAAATAAGCCATTATTTAACCAGATAAAACATAAGGAATGCCTCCCTATGCAATTTATACATAAAAAGAGAAAAAATGCTTATTCTTGAGCGAATTTCAAATTCAATGTTAACTAGGACAATTAAACCAAACATTGAAAACCTCCATAAAGCTGAGTATCTTCAGATTTATACAAAGAAATAAATGCCAGCAGCTGTCTGGCAGCTGTTCAAAATGTTTCAATATACATTTTATACATATAAAGTTTACATATATATTCTAAAAAAATAAGTATTTGTTTCCCAATTATAGGACAATATATTGAAAACAATCATATTAAAGCTCATAAAATATGCAAAAACGTCTGCATATGTAAACAAGGTTGGACAAAGCGCCATCTGTTTCTGTTAGCTACTGGCACATAGCAGATGGAACAGTGATCACGGAAACAGTGTTTTCCCTTCTTATCATTGGCTGTAGGGTTTGTTTCTATCTAATTGAATTTATATTAACAGGGGTAGGAAAATACATAGCCCCGGCTGGTGTGGCTCAGTGGATTGAGCACGGGCTGAGAACCAAAGGGTCGCCAGTTTGATTCCCAGTCAGGGCACATGCCTGGGTTGAGGGCCAGGTCCCCAGTGGGGGTGTGTAGGATGCAACCACCCATTGTTGTCTCTCCCTCGTTTTCTCCCTCCTTTTCTCCCTCCCTGCCCCTCTCTTTAAAAATAAATCTTTTTTTTTTTCAAAAAGGAAAATACACAGAAGAATAAAAAGAAAATCATAACCAACTGGGCTAACACTATAAATTAAAATAACCACAAGCCTAAAAACATAAAATATACGTTTTACCTACGTATTCCTATAAAACCCTTCTCACAGATAATGCTACATTCAAAAAAGTCAAATCCTGAGGCGCTACCTATTCTAATTCTCTTTATTTCAAATTCTCGGAAATAAAAATGATGGATTTCCAAAGGCAAAATGCACAGACTTCGGGCTCCGAATAAGATTACTTGCCAATCACAGTGAGTCCTTTCTTCCAAGAGCGAAAGGGAGTTAAGTATGGTCCAGTTCCACCACAAAAAGGCTGCCAATGTTCCTCTAAACACAGTAGACTCA